TTGACAAAACAAGATTCATACCTCTGACCTGGAATGGCTCCGAAAATCAACTGAGGCTGCTGGGCTCCAGCATAACAGTCGGAGCTGTCTCCCGCCACCGGGACCCACCCTTTCACCAGCCTGGCCCAAGCCCGGCCCGGCCCGTCCCATGCCAGAGCATGAGTCAAATGACCCCCACGCGCCCGAGAAGTCACGCACCAAGGTCTTGTTCACACAGCACGGTGTGTATCCTTCCAGAGCATTCGAAGCTCTCCCACTAGCTCATAGTCATCCTGCTTCGTCCTTCCTTGAGGAAAACGTTTTTGGAATGAGGTGGCCGACTCATTGTTGACCAACCCAGAGGGTGGGGTGTTTCCATTAGTCCGGCAAGCTGTTATGAACCATATCTTACATTTGTTGGTCGGAAATAGGTCAGGGATTTGTTAAATTGGTGTTAGGTTGTGAGTAATAAATAAAATTCATTGTGCTTGGAATGGATATGTGTAAACTATTGATATAGGTGGTAGTTGTTGATTGGTTGGGGTGGAATAATATTGCATAATCAGGTGCCACACTTTTATACCCATATCAGGTTAGAATGAGGTTGGTTTGTATGTTAAAAATGGGTCAAGGCAAATTTTCAACTTAAACATTTATGTAAATTTAGCTCTTGGGCCAAATTGTGTAATAACACTTGGAATCTTCTTGATTTTTTGATTTTTTTTCCTGTGTAGGAATATATTATTTTTAATTTTACATTTACTACAAATTTTATTTTTATTTATGTTGAAATGCTTAAGTCATTGGAAATAGTATATCTACCTTACTACAACTGAATGGACCATGTACAAAGTCAGGTTAACAAAACCCTGCATTTATTCCATAATGAAATCAATACAATATAAGAACATAGATTGAGACAAAGCATACAAAACAACAACCAAGTACTTGTGGGTTTCAATGAATTTGGGGGATGTGGGAATTTCCCCCAAGAGGACAACCTCATATTATCCTTTTTCTCAGAACTGGGGCATGCCATTGTTAATGCTTCATGAACACATGGGCCAGGTGAACAGACGTCCTGCAGTGCCCACACAGTCCCACATGGTTGGTGTGGACTGAATGGTGAGCCAGCCATGGTGGGGATGCCCACCCCGAAGCAAACTCTGAGGCAGAAGAGAGGCTTGGGGGGAGGCTTGGAAATGATGGGGACAGGATGGGCCAAGAGCCTGGGTGGGTTGCCCTGTCAACAAAAGGACAACTGTCACCCGCTTTCAAAGTTTGACTTCCACACATCCCAGTAGTTTCTTTCTCCTTTGGGAGAGGGCCAGGTTGCATGGGGATAGGGGGGGGGGGGGACAATGGGGACTTTATGGCCTTGTTTTTAGGGTCCCACTTTTATGATTGTTTTTGTGTTTGTTTGTGGAACCACATGAACCCAAGGCATGAGTTTTTCATTTTGGGAAATGCATGAGTTTTTATTGTGGGCAAAGAGGGGATCTAAAAGCTCTTGTTTTGGTTGAAAGTATTTTTCCTACCTGTGCAGTGCACAAATAATATTAAGATAATGTACAATCAGGGTGTTGGAATTAATTTAAAGCTATACTCTTCATAAATTTTTATACAAAATTATGTTAAAATATGTTTTTTTAGCTTTAATTTACAATTCAATAATCTTTTGTGTTCAAGAAAAAAAGATTCAGTTGATTTCAAAAAATTAAATATACATTTTATTTATTATTACTATTTTTATTATTTATTATTATATGTGTATTAAAATTTTATAAATAGTTATTAAGTTATTATTTTGGCATATTTTATATCTAAAAAAAGCTTTAGAATACAATTAGATTCCCAATTTTTTAAATATTTTTTAAATAATGGACAAGATTATTTTATATTATTGAGAACAAAAATTTCATGACTTTAGATGTTAGATGGTATACTATGTTTATTAAAAGTATGACTAATGTAGATTTTTAAACAGTAAAACCAGAATTATAAATTTTAGTTTTAACATATTTTTTAAAAAACATTTATAACTAAACAGTTTTGATGAGTATATACTAACTTTGATAAGAGTAATAAATAAAAAAAAAAAAAAAAAAAACTGGTCATAGTTACGTGCAAGTATCCTGTAGTTCATTAGTTTCATTACAAGTGACATCATGTATTTCTTATAACTGTTAACTGATTAATATTGAATGTTTTTAATTTATAAGAAAATTACATAAGTATGACTATAATTACTGAAAATGTTTGACTATAGTTATACCAAAAGTATGCACCAAAAGTAAAAAAATAATAAGAAGAATTAAAAAATTCTTAAGCCATTCTTTGAAGCGTATGCAAGGTAAGGATTTCTGAAGATTGCAAATCATTTTTGATGTTTTACAGTATTAAAACCGGATTAAATTATGTAATATAATTCGATTTTTTCTTTTAAATTTAAGATTGTAATACTATTTTATTTTTTCAAAAAATATATAATTGGATGTTTTACGTGTTCATAGCAATCTTACAACACCCATATTAAAAATACATATTAAAAAAAACTATAAATATTATTTTAGATTGATTTTTAAAAACCTTGTATCACTTGAACACATAATGGTAAACTCATTTAGATACGGTGCAAATGTAGAATTCTATTCTAATTTGAAATGCACCCTTCTAATTTTTTTGGAGAAAAACATACCAAATTGTTTTTAGGATGTTGATATTGTGCTAAATCATATCATTTTACTTTTATTCTAATTGGACATTTGCACGTGGTTCAAAATTCCTACACATCAATGCTTGTGATATAATCAATTAGTTTTAACAAATTCAAACTACATGTTACTACATCACAATATAATGGATCCCAGAAACAAATTTTATAAAGTTTTAAACTTTGTCTTAGGGCATCGCCATCCATTGGTGCCAATGGGGATGGGCCACGGGTAGATGCGGTGAGCTCATGGCGCACTAGCCAGGGCAGCAAGGGGCAATTCCCAGCCACTGACAACTGACCGCCTATTAGTGGCTCTCCCGGGACCCTATTCCAAGCACCCCCCCCCCCAACCCCAAGTATCTAAATGTGAGGCCAACGCAGGTTGTGGGCAGAAGGGGAAGGATGCAACATGTGCACCGACACACCCTCTACTATTTAGAGTCTACAGTAAACCCACAGACATCATTCTACTCACGCTTATCTTTATTGAAAAGACCAAACAAGGGGGAATAGGGCAGCCTACCTCTTGTGCTTTGTCACTGGGATGGTGCTGCTGACCTAATTGTAGCTTATATTGGATCCATTTCGGAAGTCACAGGGATAGTGGAAGAGAGGTAAATATAAATCAAACAACAGACAAAAACAATCATAATAATAATACTAACAAATAGAAATAGTAAATAAGATTGGATGCAGGATCCTACAGAGGTTCTTTTTCACAGCAGTAAGCATCAAAATGCCTGTTAGAGGACAACCTTTACTAGCTGAATCATAATCTCACAACTTGCAAAACCCAGTTGAGTTTGGTATGGCATGTTTTTACTAAGAGATGATTTCATTCACTGTGTTTTTTATAATAATAATATTATTATTATCATTATTATTATTATATTTTTTGTTGCGTTTTTATTTTGATCTCCATGAGATTTGTTTTGTATCCATAATTTAGTTAATTTTTCTCTAATTCAGACATGGGAGTATGAATTTGTTTATGGAAAGATGTTATGATCAAAAGAATTGCTGCCATGGTGAGAATAACGAATTTTAGTGTGAACTTTCAGAGTTGTTCATGCCTTCTTTCTTATTGTGCAATCTCCCAGATGGATTCTAAAGTAAGATTTTACTGAGTTGTGTTTTTTTGTGACCTTGATTCTGGATTATACTGCCAATATTGACATGCTAGAGATGAAATCAAATAGGTCATTGTTAGAAGCCTGTATCCACCAAACTGTGCAGTATGAAAAATCTGCAAGGCAAGAGGAAAGAGGCATTTGGTGATGCAAATGGCATCCACAAGTCCCTTTCTGACAGTACCCCACTGCTTAGATATCTGGATCACACCCACAAACATCACATTGAAAAAAAATGATATTTCACCAAAAATTATTAAATTAGCAAGATAACAAATAACACATTTAAATAAGAAAAAAATAATAATGAAAAGAAGTAGAAGAATGTGAATGAAGATGGAAAAAAAAAAAAAAAAAAAAAAAAAAAGGTGGAAAAGTTTAGTACAATCCAAGTGCTGGCCCCAGAATCATCATGTGTGGACACTTTGGGGGCAATGAATGTGGAATGAAAACAGGACTAGTGTGTGGACTGTGCAGCAAAAATGTCAAGCACAGCACAACAACCGATGGATAAAGGAGTTGAGAGGTGGAAATAAAGGGGAAGTAAGACTAAGTCACCTACTGCTATGGAAGGTGCATGGAATCCTATTGACAACACTGACCACTGTAGTAGATATCCCATTGAATATCACACCTTCTAAGGAAGAAAAAAAATGAATCCTTGAAAGGTTTTTCTTCATTGAGGGTAGCTTTGTGGCATGGGTCCAACCTGTCATTAAAACCTCTGCATCTAAACATATTCGTTTTTGGCATGGATTGCTGTTCCAGGTTTTCCAATTTCCAATTCGGTAGTCACACTGAAATTCATCACAGTTTCATAGATTTTTGTTTCATTTTCGAGATCTCTGCAGGCCTTGTTGGCAAAAGAATATCAACCACGGGCTTTGTTTTTTGTGTTGTTTTACTTATCCTTTTTCCAACTCTCATCCAATACCTTAATAATGGTCGTCTTGGTGTTTTAGTTTTTCACTGACAGGCTTGAAAACCGCGTCTGAACATTGTCAGTTGCTTGGAAGGTTTGAAACTAGGTGTCAATAATCATTTGCTGTGGTTAATTTGTGCATGGAAGCTACAGTGGTTGCATTGAAACTTCGCATGGCAGCAGACAGATGGACCTGGGGTTTCTCAGTCAGCAGGGAAGGCCATGATGCTTTAGCTTTGGGAATTTCGGTGTCAGTATGGTGGACCTTTGCGATCATGCACGTCACGCGAAGCCCACGAAATGTGCAAGGGCATTGCACGGACGATGGTGCGATTGTGGGATGAGTCGAGCCACAACACCAGGGATCCATTCGAGTTCGACTCTTGCGCACCTTGTTGGCTACGAGTAGGCCATGACCAAGACGACCCGATCAATAGTTTCAGTTTCCAGGTGGTGCATTGTAGACTGTCGAAAGGGCTCTCTCGCACGAGGCTTCCAGCTCAAGTGGGATTGTGCACAGCGAAGCGACCGATTGATCGCGTAACGCTTTCTTGGATAGTTATTTGATCTTTGTTCTAGATTCCGCTAGATCAGTGTCGATATCTAACTAGCTGTGACGAGGATGCTGAACTTAAGAGTTTTCATTTAACAAGGGACTGCCTTGTGGTCCAGGTGGACGTTTCTGTACCGTTGCGATGGAGTCGTGCGCGCTGCGCTCGGGTTGTTCGAACGAGTGTTTCACTTTGTTTACAGGCACACGAAATGACTAGGAATTGCTGTTTTGACTCAGTCTTTCCGGTTAGTTTACAGTGCTTCCTTGCAGCTGCCGAGGGCTTAGGTGGGTTCGAAGTCCTGCGCCATCGCTGTCAAAATCGCGGTGCTGAACAGTCTGTTAGTCTTCTTTTCTAGTTTGGTGCAGGCAGACGGTTGGTTAGTTCTTTGTAGCTGTGGGTGTTGGGAGTAGCTTGTGCGCCAGCTCATGGGGCTGCAAACAATGAGGAGCCAAGCTTATGATCTTGTCACCAAATCGACTTTGTAGGTATTCAAGAAATTTTAGTACACAATACCTAAACACCATTTGTAGCTGATGTCGCGAAAGGTCGGCCGAATGGGGGCGATCTTCAAGGGGTACTTGTGAGTCTCGGGCGCCGAAGCGCAAGGCAGTAAAGTTAGTGGTGCGTGTGCAGTCGATAAATCCGTGGGGTGATATGGGAGGATCCGAGCGGCCCACGCTCTTAGTATCTGTTTTATTAGTGGCAATGTTCACCTCCTTATGTAGCCGAGGTGCAGCCACCATTGAAGAAGGTACGCGGTTCTTAATACGTCCATTTCTCCATAACAACACCGGTGTTTGCAATTACGGATGCAGTGTAAAGCTCATGAAATATTGCTTCGGTTACGCTACGTCTTCAGTAAACATAGTTTACTGCTGGACCGATCCAATGCTCAGTTATGAAATTTTAGGAGCAAAGAAGCAATTACCATTAATCCCTCCTCTGTCCGCTCGTATTACGAACTTCAGCAAATGCTAGCTCTATTGCTATAATCTCCACCTTCTGATGGCGAGATGGAGGTGGATCTCTGCCACCAGCCGCTAACTCGCGAGAACCATATTTTCCGTCAATCAAAAACCAAAGAATGTTGCAGATGCACAGGGGCTCACAAGTTGGGTGTGGAAATTTCAGGCAATGCATTGCAAGAAGTGTTGGATACTAAGTGGATAACAAGGTCCATGCCTTCATGGGTGATTGGCACAGATCCATGTGTTGCCGTCTGGATGAGGTTGGATTGCGATACAACAGGCCACGTCGTCACACTGTAAGAATCGTCACATTTCATCTCTTCACCACTGGCTTCCGAGCACCACTTTCTGCATATTTTTAGTCCATATCCGACTGCGAAGGAAAACGTAATCGAAAGAGGGTTCGCTCCCTACATCGTGTTCTTAAGGTTGGTAGTTGAGCGTCCATCAATTTATGCAGAGCTTCTAACGAAAATTGTTGCATTGCGATTCCCGCCCAGGAACTTAACACACGTCGGACTCAGTGGAGAAATTCCAATGGCGTTGGGCAAGCTTACTTCGCTGAAGGTTTTGGATATGGGTAACGACAAGAACTGTGAGAAATGTGGGCCATGGAATAGGGTGAAGGGTGACCTTGCCGCTCTTTCGACTCTGGTGAATTTACAGACATTGTGAGTTCTGGCCGTGGCGTAGAAGCTTCCAGTTCTGATCAGCTTTATCTGCTTCACATCACTTCCGTTTTCGTAGAGTGAACGTTGGAATGGAGAGTTCTGCACACTGTCAGCTTGCGGTGTTTCATTTACTTATCCACCTTCTCTTGTGGCGCTTTGCAGAATACTTACCTCGAATGAGCTTTCTCTCGATATATTTCCTTCCTCCATCTTCAAACTTACGAAGTTAGTAAACTTGTAAGTGATCATATTTCTCTAGCTGGTTGGATTCCTCGATTGCTGGGAAAATTTAGCAAGTTTTGATTGTCTATGAAGAGATGAATATGTGTGATCTAATTTGCTCTCTGCTTGGGAACAGGAGAGTGGACAACACCTTGATTAGAGGAAAATTTCCTTATCAGCTCTCAACACTTACCAATCTGCAGATTCTGTACGTGACAGAACTTTCTTCATTGTAATATTCAAGAGCTCTGATGGGATCAATTATATTTTAGCTCTTCACTCGATTTGGTAGGTTTGTATGATATGGGTTCTTACAAACCCATCTGCTGGTTACAGGTACTTGGGAAACAACTCATTCACGGGTCCCTTGGACGGGGGGCCTCTCAGCAAACTCGTGAATTTACATGAGCTGTGAGTTCATCGATTCCCCGTAGACATATTATCTAGGGGGGTTAAGTGAGTGTTTCGATTGCCCGAAGAGTACCCACAGAAGTAGGAGTTTCTTGAGACATTATTTTGTAAACCTGTTCGCCTTTGTAATTAACGTTGTGGGGGTTTATGCTGTCCAGGACTATCTGGAATAGTCCATTCTACTCTGTATGTCCTCCGGAGCTGGGAAAGCTTGTCAATTTAACCTACTTGTAAGCAGCTCATCAGAGTCTTTTTGAAGGAAAATAAATCCTCCACACATTTGAAAACTCAATGACATACTACTGCGCATGATAACAGCATATACTTGATCATTTAGGGTTTCATTTTGACAACGCCTTACGTGAGGATTGGCAAGTATTTATTTCTCAATCCTTGCGTCCGTGTGCAGGAATTTGAATAAGTGTGGTCTCTACGGTGGCCTTCCCCCGGAATATTCGAAACTCACCAAATTGGAGAAATTGTAAGCCATGAAATCCATAAAATCTTTCCTGTTGAAATTCTTGATGGTAATTGAAAGTTTGGTGCAACAGAAGAATTGAAGAAGATTCAACGTCTTTTTGATTTTCTTTTATTTATTTTTTGTTTTTATTCACGCATACTGCTGATCTTCTGATGCGTTACAATTCATGATTAATCTGCCCGATTATTTATGTATACTTGCCCGATTATGTATTTGTTGTTGTCCTGTGTATTCGTGAGCTCAGGATTCTGTTCAAGAACAATTTCACAGGGCCTATTCCAGACAGCTGGCGTTCTATGGTTAACCTCAAAGATTTGTAGGGGCTCTAAATCTTCTTTGCCTGCTTCATTATGTCTAAACATCCAGCGAAGCTTTTAAATCTGACTCGTGCTTTAATAAACTAACCAACTCATTCTATTGCAATGCAGCGAGATCAACAACAACTACTTATACGGACCGTTGCCTACCTGGCTTCTGCAATTTCCTAAGCTTGCGATCATGTAAGCCTCATTAAACCGCTTGTGGTTCTCATATTCCTGGTTGATGTCGAAAATATGTTAATACATGGCGCTTTGCCGCCTAAATTGCTATCTAACTTGGGGAGATAGACCCTATGCTCAAGTTACTGACATTATCAGGTTCGGCCATTGACATGTAATTCAACAGACGAGGCACCAATAATAATCTCTATGGACCGCTTCCACCAGGTCTGAATGAGACCTACACCCCAGGGCTGCGAAACATGTGAGTTTTCCTTGGGCTGGAACATCAGTTCTCTCCTCCGTCCACTGCCAATCAATAAATCAATCGTGTGTTTAGCTTGTGAGATCGCTTTGAGAATCCGTCTAACCGATTTTAGGATTTTTAAGGGCATTGTGACAACCTATTCTGCGGTATCTTATATACTGTTGGTCAACTGGTTTGGGACTACGTTTTTTCCTGTGATAATGTATGCTGTATTATTAGAGGACTGACGTGGCCACTTGGTTGCGGCTTCTTCTTTGCAGATCTATGGAGTGCAACTACTTAAATGGGAACAGGCCAAGCGTGTCCCAAAATATTACGTAAGTTTGTCAACTTCTTTTGGAATTGCTACTGTGCTCCACGTTTTAACAGTGTTTTGTGAGCCGAATTTGAAACTGATGTTCAAGATAGATTACCTTATACACTAAAATATGATATAACTGCTGAGCGAATATACTTTTCTGCCCATATCAGACGTTTCCTTAAGTGATGCAAAGTATCCTTATTACTCTTTATAGGGCCTCTCTCCAATACAATTGCTTTGTTGGTGATACCAACTCAGATTCGGCCTGCATCAGGCCTCAAAATTGCCTCAACTTTCAACTGGCCACGGGAAATGGTACAGGAACCGTTCTTTCAGCCTTATCGAATTATTCTTCAGCATTTTCATCAGCTGTGCTGGACGAATATGCTATGCTGTGGTGTAGCTTTAAGGTAGCTCGGGTATGCTAAACAGGCTTAGTTACTCAAGGATGCAGTAGATTATACTCAGTATTATCTCTTTCGTTTTCTCCTTATTACAGGAACACGGTGTCCCGCATGTCCTCCAGATCAACATCCTGTTAACTTAACTACTTGCATTTGTTTTAAAGGTGCAATCCATTCCCCTTAACACTGATTTTATGATTGGCTTGTTTCCAGTCAATTGTCACTAGCATGATACCTACATCTGTCTTCATTTAACTTTATTTTCTATCGTCTTGTGGCGTTCTTTGTTCTGAAATGGTCGGTTTTGACCGTGCTTGCAGATGAAGTGAAATCGAGCAAGAAGTTCGGAATTGGTGCAATTATAGGTGTTACCGTGGGCGGAGCTGTGCTTATGATTTTCCTAATGACCCTAGCATACTTTTTCTTATTTAAACGCAAGAGCAAAGCCAGGGAGGGACCCAAGTCTCGTCCTGACTTTTTCAGCATAGGTAAAGAAGGTACTTGTCTAGATATTGGATTGTGCATTTGGAATTAAAAAAAAATACGTTTTTCGTTTCAGTGCTCCACTAAAAACCCTTCTGCAAAAAGTTTTTCTTTCTTATTTTTGTGTGGTGATGACAGTGGGTAGCATGAGGTATAGTAGTGCACTATGGGAAGTTCCGAACGGTGTACAGCGATTTACATTAGAAGAATTAACCAAGGCAACCGATGGCTTCGACAAGGCCCATGAAATTGGCGAAGGTGGATTCGGCAAGGTATTTGTCGGTCACTTTCCTGATGGTCGCACTTTGGCTCTCAAGCGAGCCGCCCCTGTCTTCAGCCCCAACTCAGGAGCAGGCCACCAGCAGTTCAGGAATGAGGTATGTTGTTTTCAATTGACTAAGTTACATGAAGATCATAATGCGTTCCTTTTGGCGAAATGCCCTTAATACCTACAGCCTCAACCTATTCTCAACTTTTGAATAATCTCGGGGTTGTCAGGTGTTACTGTTGAGTAGACTCCACCACAAGAACTTGGTTCGGCTTGAGGGATTCTGTGATGAGGAAGATTACCAGGTACTTTTTTCTATTTCTCTTCCGACTGTTCTCATGAGAATGTTCTTATTGTTTTGTAATATTCTGGAGCATGGGAGTAGTGGGCTTCAAATCTGACCACATGTGGCGGTGGGGGTTGTTGCTTGTGTTGGTTACAGATTTTGGTGTACGAGTTCATGAAGCTAGGAAATCTTCACAGCCTTCTCCATGAAGATCATCGTGGTAAATAGGACCCCTCGCACATGTTTCACATTCAATCCTATGATTTCAGAGAAAAGATAGATTGGGTGTTCATTCTGTGTAGACTATGTTCCTCTAAAATCATGTAATTGGGATCGCAGGGAAGAATGCTGGTAAATACATCATGTTGGACTGGTACAAGCGCCTTGAGATTGCACTTCATATTGCTCAGGGATTGGACTACCTTCATTCCTTTGCGGTATTTTTCTCGAATCAAAAACATTCTAACTCCGCTTATTCTTTTTTTAAAAGGAATTGCTAGGGGTGCACCCATTGCACTGATGCGTTGACGATTGTTCCTCCGCATCTTACTTTTGAAATAAATATGATTTTTTTTTTGTTTTTTTGTTTTTCTTCTTTGTTTAAAGAAAAACTTGGTGTTTATAGGATCCTCCGGTGATCCATAGAGATGTGAAGCCAAGCAACATCTTGCTGGACGAAAATCTGGTGGCGAAAGTGGCTGACTTTGGTATCTCCAGAGAGTCACCGGAAATTGACACGCATGTGTCCACCAGGCCAGCGGGCACCGCAGGGTAGACTCCAACTATTTGAGTCACCCTTACAATGCTTCTTTTTATTTTCTTCACAATCTGCCAATACCTTCGTAGTTAGTAGAACCTCATTACCACGGCATTTTTCCTTGTTGACATCACAGTGCCCTTCTGCATCAGGTACTTCGATCCTCAGTACTTCCTTCGTCGCCAACTAACTACAGCTAGCGACGTTTACAGCTTTGGGGTGGTTTTATTGGAGTTGATAACTGGCCGCAGAGCCATTGTTCTCAATTCTACTTCTGATGAGGACACTAATCTTATCGAATGGGTGAGCAGCGCAAACTATTCGTGATTGCGCACGTGATCTCTTAGATTTTAGCTGCCTAGATTATTCAGAGTACGAGATCCTTAACAAAATTTGACCTCGACTGGCTGCAGACAAAGCTCAGAAGGGAGCAGAGTAAAGATGGCAACGTTGCAAGTATTGTAGATTGCAAACTCGAGGGGAAATATCCTCAAGAAACGTATGCTAAGCTTGTGGACTTGGCCTTGATGTGTGCAAGTTTTGAGAAGAGCAGGAGACCATCCATGAAGGTTCGGTTGCTCTACCTAGCTGCTGGTCATGATCTCTGTGCTTTCATGATATTTTCATTTTCAAGTTTACGGTTTCATTAGACCACCCATTAACACACTTGATTTGGTTGTGTATGTGTATGTGTGTGTGGCAGCATGTAGTTAGTGTACTAGAACCCCTGCTGCAAAGTGCCGAGCGGCCTACTCAAAACTACACGTTGCAGCAATGGCCATCACACGAAGTCAGAACTTCTCCCTCTTCAAGTCACCATTCGACCATGGTTGGGTCAGATGAGGGCTGCAGAACTGGCACAGAATATACCCGCATTGAAATGGCCACTTTACTCTTACCACGCTAGGGAGTGCTTTGATCAATCCTGGTCACTGTGTGAGGGTGATAGAAATTGGTTCCATTCATATCTTGGTTAATATCCTCGACAAGCAGTGGATCACGCCGTGATCCGTTGGTCTTCTTCAGTGTCCCTGAAGGACTGGATTGCACGGACTAGGTATATCTATCGAATGCGACGATGCCTCCAGTCGATCTTCTCACACGGTCTATCCTAGATCTCGTGCAGAATCAGGCCACTCATGCAAGGAGATACTCCAGTGCGATTCAGAACTACGAATCCTTATCGGTTTCGATGGAAAGCTCTGTAAAGTCTGTGTTAACATTGATACTTAGATTATCGGGAAATCATGGGGGCTGCACTAACCATATTATCCAGACGATTTGACTAAGGCGGGGTCGGAAAAACAATCGTTATGAAAATCAAGGGCGTTTTGTGCGGATCTAAGCTTTCGAGTTCGGTAAACCTCATACGACTTTAGCTGCCTGTTTGAACAGGAATCTGATGCCATGTCCACACCAGACCTTCATAGTCTTGAAGATCCGTTCCGAATGTGGAGGAGCTTGATTATAAGTGGTGGCTACGTATGCGTGGGCCTAAAGATGCAACACCAAGTAGCAGGATGACAAAAATTGCTTCTGTGGCGGTGCGTCAACAAACCAAGTGTTTTACGTTGCTACTTTCAACATTGACGCAACTAATTGAAACACGTATGAGGTAGGAGCTTAGGGTAAATGTAGCCTGTATCCCGCTGCTTGATTACTGTGTTAAGCCGACTTTGTGTGGCAAGAGCAATGTGAAGCTCATCACTACATTTCATGATGGTCAACAGCAATCTAGGTGATGCGTAATCAGAGTATGAGTCTTGTGAGGGCGCTGTGCCGTCAGAGTGCGGCAGTTGGGGTTGCACTTAAGTGAATTTAAGTTTATGAGCTAACCTGTGATGCATGACGCTAGTACACCGCAAGGATTGACTCCAGCAGTTCATGTTTGAAGATGTAGAATCGTAGGGTTTCTGGCAGAAGGTCCACACGTTTGATTTGTGAACTAATCATCCCGGAAGATTCACTGCGACGTTACATGACCAAATCTAGTTTTAACAAATGATCATAAGATCAACGATTTGGTTTTTGGTAAATTTGTAACTTTTAAACATGCCCAATATTCTGACAACCATCCGGAATGTTTTGTTTCGCTTGGCATAAGATATTATCTACTGGTGGTAATGTCTGCCATGTACACCGACTGAGTAAATAATAATAATAATAATAATAATAGTAAAGAAGTAACAGAAGTTAGAACCGTAAAAACGTAGGCATTCTAGCAGAATTCAGGTACTTATTTTTATTTAATTATTTGTTTTTCATAAGTGGTTGTTCTATTCAATCGCGAATTAACCGACAATCACGATAATGCCGACGAACAGCATAAATTGGGGAGAAGAACAAGCACCATTCAAAAAGAAATTGCACTCCGCAGGAATCGGAAACTAGAGAATATATTTCTAATGATGTCAAAATTATTTACACAAGGTCTTTGTCACAAGAACTCATAAAAAAGAAAACCCCAGAACGATGACATTGATAGTGCGTGTGGCATCGCTGCAGTTGAAGTGTCATCAAAGAACTAAAATTGGTTTTAATCCGAGGATAAGCATAAACCTGTACTTAATTGAAATGGGTAGGATTCAGCCAATCTTTAGCAACATCGTCCAAATGTTTGTCAAATCAGGAGACGCGGCACTTACGCTCTTCCATAATGAAAGCGCTCAAAATGCTGTTTGCCATTGTCTCCTTTAACCGCATCTCCATACTTTGCACCTCCCCAGACCCTGCTATCCGCCATCCCAACCCTTCCGTCACATATTATGGAAGGGTTCACCTGCCGCCTCAGTGTTCCCTTTCGCGAGACCTTGAGGCAGCATGTCATCCAATGAAACAATAGCAGCTTGCGGGCAATGCTTAGCAAAGTGGTCACCAATCATCTTTGTAACAGAGCTCAGCTCGTGGTTTTCAAACTGCTCGTTCGCATGGTAATACCCAACAATTTTCAACGACCCGTCATCGCCACCAACCAGGTACTCCTCCACCTGCGTGAGCGCCAGCTCCTGCATGGACAACAGGCCCAGCTTCCCATGAAACAACGGCACGCAATTCGTGACCTAAGCTGTGGGTTTCCCATCGCCCGTTCCTCCCTCGCGTCCGATCAAGGCGCCGTTCAACACACTGGATGTGTGCTTCAACGAGTGCAGGACGAGCTTCACGTACGCCGTCTACCGCAACTCATACGTCGCCATGGCTTCTCCCGCTTCCATCCACAACCACAACCACAACTCCTTCAATAAATTGCCTCAAAAAAGCACATAGAGAATTGAATCGAGAGGAACCCAGTTAATTGTGAGGATCGCCCTCGGTCTATCGCTGCTCTGCGTCAAATGACCCACATCAAAAACAGTCGGCGATGATGCCGAAGGATCGAAATTGTGCAGCAAGCTTCCAGGAAATGGACTTTCTCGTGAAAAACTCTTGGACTCTATGAAGAAATGGAGGGGTTTGCTGTACATGCATGTATCTGATTTTATATGTTTGTATTCCAATTAGAAGATTTAACAAAATTGTGTGGAAGTATCTGTTGCGATGACATATGAACTCGGAGTAGACCAAAACGAAATAAAAGAACAGGTTGTGCCGTTTGTTGCAATGGCATGCCACCTTTACATATTACATCTATATAAATATAAAAATATGTGTCTGCGAGAGAGTTTGTGTGTGTGTAAAGCTAATCATTGTAACAGAATCTTAAGATATTAAACATTTTACTTTTACTATTGTTAATGAAATAGGCATTCAACAACTAGAATATGAATCTGGGTCGATCTGGGATGGAGATTGCGGCGCCGAGGATGAAACAGACTCCAGATCTTCGAAACATGAGTCTGGTGAAAATCTGCACTGGCTTTGCTTGTGTTGAACGATTAGCGCCGAGGGGAATCTGCGTTTCTCCTGCTCTCGCGAAATCCGAAGCTCCTCTGGTTCCTGAGACTGTGATCTGCAATGGAAGGGCGTGCCGCTAATGGGGCGTTGTGGGTTGCAGCCTGAGTTGCGGGTGGAATATGCAATCGAAGTTGTGATCGGAAATGCTGGGATGAGTTCGAAATCCCGGGACTTGCTTGCAATTGCTGGAAGAGGGCTTTGAGGAGCAGCACTCGGAAGGAAAGGAGGGAGGGAGGGAGCAAGTTCATTCCCTCAGATGACATAATCGACGTTTTAGGGGTACACTGATTACACCACACCTGGTTTGTGCCGCGGACTCATCCATCGGTTGATGCGCACGCTAGCCGGCAGTTCATTGTTTGGGTGAACAACACCTATTATTCTTATCGATATTCAGAAGGTTGAAGCTTGTGTATAACCAGGTTTGGCTATGTTACTGAATCGTGGCAGCTCAATCTCTGTTGAGGAACTGAAGTGGTGTAGCTTCCTGTAAAGTATCACATGGAAAGAACGACGGTGTAATCCACGAGCAAAGATTTCTCTTGCTGCTTCATAAATGCTCCACCAAGCCTTTATCTCCATCAAGGGACTCAGAACATCTGCAATCTAAGAATCGCAAGCAAGTAAGCTCCACCATCCATGGCTCCACTACTTCTGGGTCCATCTTTCGGGATCCATGTCTGAAAGGGAGGTTTAGTGACCACTTTCAATTTGGAAATGATAAGAGTTCACTCAGTCCATCACCACTGGCGAGCACTTCATTGATGTTGTGCAACACCTGGTTACCTGCCCTTGGACTTCATTCGCCTCACCTGCATTTATTCACGATCTGTGACAGATCCTGGCACCGCAGTGCAAAGAAATGGCCGCTGAAACTCCTCGCCACTGCAGGTTACCTTTGCTGAACCTGTCCGCAGCTTTGACAACGCAGATTCTGCTCTAAAGAAGGCTCACATCAGTCACAGCTTTATGCCCATCTGCAGGTAATTGATACCCATTCGCAGATTGGTTCTCAAACATTCAGCCAACCGGATACTTTCACAATTCACTTCCATTTGCAAATCATCACTCAAGTTGTGAAAGATAAAAGTAAATCTGGGGTTGCAGGGAGACGGAGACTGGTGATTAGTCGCTCGGTTTGAAAACACTAAACAATGAACCTCCACCAGTTTTCGTTTGATCGCTATCTGGCATTAGCCAAGAAATGTCTCGTTGATTCTGAATTCGAGAAGAAACCCAGAGCAGATGAAGCTCGCATATGGCTCAGGGTCACATTGGTTGATTATGGTGTACAATTCAACTGCATGGGTGTGCGACGGTCCGCCTACTCCGACCACTCCAACAGTCGAGGCATCTGCATGTCACAGATATAGACCAGAGCATCCAATCCCTCAGTTTTTCAATGAGGAGGTTGGGCTGTTGCCAGAACGGGTAGGGCAAGTTCAAATCACTGGGAACCGAAAGTTGCTATCGTTTAAGCTTTCAAAAAACAATCCAAGCAACACTCCTTAGGGATCCTCGACATCACTTTGTAGCTAACCACCCTATGGAACAGTGAAACATCAGTCATTGGATTCGGCCTCTCATTGCTTCACGACATAATAACAATCAAAGTCAGCACATTAGACGGTGTCTAGAAAGGAACTTCTGTTTCAAATTATCTTCCCGAACTTTTTATCACACCTTTGACATAAACCTGCTATGCAGATTTGTTTTGAAACAACCTGGATTAGCCGCGAATTGTGCGATACCTGGTACGAGGGAGGAAATTCTTGCTGTGAGTTTGATCAACCTCGTCAGGCTAGCATGTCGGTTGGGGAAGGTTCTTGGGTTAGTTGGGACTCCCAGGGAACGGGTGCACACTAACTTCAACGATCGTGCAAAGTAACAGTTGTTGCAAGTAAGGCGTCATTAAAGTCGCAATAGCCTTAACACACCGCCACCTGCAGGCCTTTGTGGGGTCATTGGATCCATTGACTGCCGTTGGGTCTGACTGCCTCCCTGCCGTTTCTGCCACCTCTCTGCCCTCATTCAAAATGCGTGCAACGTAAATGCTAGACCGGGGGGGAAAGGACTACCATTCCTGTGGCAACTGAAAGATTATTTCTAATGATCTGAACTAAGCTGAGCTTCTACTACGTGTACTAGGGCCACATCTATGAGGAGTACAGTTTCAAAGGGCGATATTTCTACCACTCTAGTAGGCCGTTACTCGTATCCTGAGAAGAACACATATAGGCTCCGATCAAGGACAAGTGTACGCTGAGTTCAGTTACAAGTAACGATCTAGGAAGAACCAAGGATTAGTTTATTTACTTAGTCACTCTTGTTTGATAATCCTCGCTGTCCCAGAACCTAGGCACCTGAAATTAAGTGCTTTTGATCATTCTGCAAGCTAGACCGATACTTCAAAGTCTTGCTCGAAACTGTTGGTACCACCTGTCGTTTCCAGGTACAACTCCAAGTCAGCAGAGAGGCGCAATTTAATGTTGGAGTACGTAGACAACATTGAATTCGGCACGACGGAGGTATGACGAGATCACTGTGTCAAAAGTATAACCCCAAACCTCGAGTTCTAAATCACTCCTTTTTTCTTTTTCCTCCCTCACTCTCTCCTCTTGTCATAGGATCCGAAGCCACGTACGTCACACCACAGCGGCGTGGAGGTCGACACGACACACAAACAAACAAACAAACGCGCCTTGCATTCCAGTGCTTCTTGTCGATGGTAATTCAATACAATACGGACGATAATATGCATTAATACAATGTAATTTAATGTCAGGAGACGGCGAGGACAGAAGGGGGTTCATGAGTGGGAGATGAGGAGGAGGAAGAGGATTTGAGGAGGAGCAACATCAATAACAACTAGAACAACAACAACAACAGCAACAACAAGATGTTGCCAAGCTCCACAAATCTTAGGAGGAGTTGTCAGGGCCATCATGGTTGACTCTGTCAAATGGTTGCATCCATTGTGGTGCTTCTGCTGCAGCTCAGATCAGAAGGGAAACCTCAGGTTCTGAAGGCGCCATGAATGGAAGCACCTGGTCAGTCAGTGGGAAAAACAATTGGAGTGCATGGCCAGGCGTCGCTGGCTGTGAAGATCTCTGCTGCTCATTGCCTGTTAAGTAGTACACTTTTG